CCCCACCCCCCACTCTAGGCCTGGCTTCAACACCCAAGTCGCTCGGTCTGGTGGCCCTTCCCTTACATGCCTGCCCATGTGGCATCTCTCCCCACACCCATGTTACCTCTCGCCTGGGCTCTGCTAATAGCTTCTTAATGAAGCTCCTTATTCAAGAATAATCCCCTGGCAGATCCATCAGCTTTATAAAGCACAAGTCTGTTAACACCATTGCCCTCTGGATGAAGTCCAAATCCTGAGCTCAGCGTTGAAGCCTGGCCTGGGCAAGCTTTTCAGTCTTCTTTCCTGCTGCTCCCCTTCCAGACCCCTACGGCCCTTCCAGGTGGGCTCTGCAGTGGTCTCCAGGCTTTTGCTCACACTGGGCCTCCCACTCTACATGCTATCACTGGCCCTCTGCCCCCATATTCCAGCCCACCCACTATGACCCGACTCAACTTTGTCCTGTCCCAGAAACACTGCTTCGACCTCCCAAATATGGTCTCTACCTCTTCTCAATCCCCATGGAATTTTAATTCAATTCAACAAACATTTGCAGTCACCTCGTCTGCACAGGTCCCTTAGCTGGGATTTGTAGACACAAAGAGGAAGCTAACCCTGGCCTGGGAACACTCTGTCAGTGCAGAACACAGGAGGGAGAAGAGTTGATTCATGGAAACAAACATATGGAAAGATGCTCGACCTCACTAGTCATCAGGGAAATGCAAGTCATACCCACTAGGATGACTAGAGGCAAAGAGACAGATAATAACAAGTGTTGGCGAGGATGTGGAGATGCCGGAACCCTCATACACTGCTGAGGGGAATGTAAAATGATGTCACTGCTTCAGACAAGTTTGGCAGTTCTTCAAATCGTTAAACTAGAGTTACCGTTTGACCCAGCAATTCCACTCCTAGGCATATGCCCAGGAAAAATGAAATAATCTGTTCACATAAAAACTTGCACACAAATATTTAGAGCAGCATTATTCATAGTAGACAAGAGGGAGAAACAACCCAAATGTCCAAAAACTGATAAATGGATAAACAAAAATGTGGTATATCCATATAATGAAATATTATTCAGCCATAAAAAGGAATGAAGTACTGGTACATGTTATAACATGGAAGAACTTTGGAAACATTATGCTAGGTGAAAGAAACCAGACACAAAAGACAACATATTGTATTGTTCCGTTTGTGGGAAATGTCCAGAACAGGCAAATCTATAGAGACAGAAAGTAGACTACTGATCGCTTAGGGCGGGGAGATGGGAGTAGGGGGATGATAGCTAAAGGGTAAGGGGCTTCTTTTTGAGCTAATGAAAATATTCTAAAATTGACTGTAGGTGTAAGGTTGCATTCATCTGTAAACACTAAAATCTATTGAATTTTAAGTGGGCAAATTGTATGATACCTGAATTATATCTCAATAAATATATCTAAAAAGTCAATTCATGGAGCACTGATCACCTTCTACCTTTCAGGACAGTTTGTGGAGTCTATGTCTGATCGTCCCACCAGACTGGAAGTGCCCCCATAGCAGTGGCTGTTTCTGTAAATGCCTATTCTCCACTCACTCCCTAAAAGAGGTCACTGATGATTGTTTACTGAGTAAACAAATGAATGTTGTATACACACCAAACTCCTATTTATACTTCAATACCCTATAGAGGTGACTCTTCATGGAAGCCATGCATGGCCTGCCCTGCAATTCTTTTTTCTATCTTCCTCCTAATCTTTGTCTCCCTCTGTCACAGCAAATATCTCTCCAGACCATATTTGGTGAGTCAGACTGTGAGCCCCGTGACCATGGGCAGGAATCTTTCCAATTCACATCCGCACCTACAGAGGCCTGGCATAGAGCAGTCACTCCATAATTGGCATCTCACCAGCCCCAGTGACCAGGACCCTTATTCTTGGGGCTCCTGTGGAGTCAGGCCACCTGGAACTGGCTCTCCCACCTCACATTTACCCCACCCCCCACTGCAGCACTATGAACCTCATCTAAGCATGAAGTCCTGCATGTGTGAGCGCTCAGCCCTGAAGGGCAAATCAAAGGCCTTACCTGCCATGTGGATGCCCCAGCCCCCAAGGCAGCCCCACCTCCCTGAGGCCACATCCCAACCAGTGTGTCACTCTAACAAGCACATACCCGCAGCTTGACCTGGGTCCTCTTACGAAGCCACTTCTCCCGGGGGTTAGCGGGGCTCAGGGCAGCAGGATCCAAGCCAGTGCTCTCCTTGACGGTCACACTCTCATAGCGCATCACCTGATAGACACCAAGCAGGGCTCCAGGTCAGGCCATTGCAAGGCCTCCCCTCCTTCCCAGGTGTCAGGCAGAGGGCCCACCCCCAGGCCCCCTGCCCTCCCAGCTTGGAACCCTCCGGAGGCTGGAGACCCAGGACCCAAATGCTCTCAGGCCTGGGAGCAGTCTCTACCCTCCACACACAAACTTAACAGCTCCCTGCATCTGCACCCACTCTCTGCCTTCCCTCCTGTTTCGTAGGTGGCCCTCACCTAAGGCCACTGAAGCCCTGATCCCAGGCCCTCCTGCCTACTCAAGGTCATTGCTCCTGCCCACTCCCTCTCAGTGCTAAGAAACTGGTTAGTCTCTCCCTGCTGAACCATCAATCTCTTTTTCACATAAATATACTGTAACTATGATCACTTAAAAAAGGAAAAAACACACTCCCTAAGACCCCTGTGTCTTTCCAGTGTCCATCACACGTCTCTGCTCTCCCTTACCCTATGCTCTGTCTCCCCCCCTGCCCGCCTCTTCCCTCTGCCCAATCCAATCAGGCCTCTGTCCCATGGCTCCGTGGAAGCCATTCTCACCAAAGCCACCAGTGGTGACTTCCATTCTGCCCGACTCAAAGGTCCGCTCTCACCCATCCGCTCTCAGCTCTCCTCTGACCTCAGGGGTTGTCTCCTTCGGGGCCTCCTCTCTCCCCCATGGAGCTGCAGGACTCAGCCTGGAACTTCTCCATCTATGGAAACTCCCTCAGTTCTGTGGTGGTGTGATTTATACTAAGAAATATATATTTGTTTTTTATCCCCATTTATGGCCTGGAACTCCTAAAACCTTTGTAATTTCCAAAATCATGAGAGAGCAACAAAGGTGTCTTTTGTTAGTGAGGTGACTTTGGGGGCTGGTTGCCAGGAAAATGAACCTTGTGAATAGAAGGTTTGAACTTTCAGTCCCAACTCCTAACCTCCAAAGGGGGGAGAGGGGCTGGAGGCTGGATCGATGGCCAGTGGCCAATGATTTAATCACTGCTGCCTATTAATAAAGCCTCCATAACAACCTCCAAATAGGTTCGCAGAGCTGCCGGCTTGGTAAGCACTCGGAGATTTGGGAAGAGCATTGCCCCTGGTGAGGGCAGGGAAGCTCCCACCACTTCCCCACACCTTGCCCTATGCATCCCTTCCATCTGGCTGTTCCTGAGTTACATCCTTTTAACAAAATAAACCAGTAATCTAGTAAGGAAAATGTGTCTCTGAGTCCTGTGAGCCCCTCTGGCAAATTACAGTCATCAAACCCAAGGAGAGGTCACTGGAACCTTGATCAGTCCCTCAGAAGCCAAGGTGACACCCAGGACTTGTGATTGGCATCTGAGGGGATTGAGGGTCAGACGTGTGGGACTGAACCACTACCCTGAGGGAGCTGAGCTATTTCCAGGTAAGCAGTGTCGGAGCTGAGTTGTGTAAGACACTGGCTGGTGTTGGAGATCTGCTTGGTGTGGGAAGAAACCATGGACTGGAATTGGTGTCAGAACCAAAGCATGTAGCCATCACTGGCTTTAAATGCCATCCAAGCTCTGATCGCCCACATTATTTTTAAAATATATTTTTATTGATTTCAGAGAGACAGGAAGGGAGAGGGAGAGAAGGACAGAAACATCAATGATGAGGGAGTCATTGATCAGCTGCCTCCTGCATGCCCCCTGCTGAGGATCGAGTCTGAAACCCAGGCATGTGCCCTGACCAGGAATCAAACCTCGGTCTCCTGGACCATAGGTCAATGCTCAACCACTGAGCCACACCGGCTGAGCTGATCATCCACATTTTATCTAACATCTCCCTAAACTCCAGACTTTCCACTCACCTTCCCTCTCAACATCTAGCAGGCATCTCACCCTCCCAGGCCCAGATCCAAGACTCAGTCCCCACCCCACCCCCAGTCCTGCTCTTCCCAACCCTAAGGGATGGCACTACTGGAAGTGTTCAGGTGGAGCAAGAGCTGTTGGCCTGCCCTCTCCCTCACAGCTCAGACGCCAGCAAGTCCTGTCACCACAGCTCAAACCTTCAGCACAACTCAAACTCTCAGCACATTTCAAACCCTCACCGCAACTCAGACCCTCACCACAACTCAGACCCTCAGCACATCTCAATCCCTCACCACAACTCAAACCCTCACCGCAACTCAGACCCTCACCACAACTCAGACCCTCAGCACATCTCAATCCCTCACCGCAACTCAATTGCTCCCCACAACTCAGACCCTCAGCACAACTCAAACCCTCGCAACTCAGACCCTCAGCCCAGCTCAAACCCTCAGCACCTCTACTACCAGCACCTTAGCCCAAGCCGCCCTCTTGAAGCCGGGCTCCTATGCTCACCTCATGAAGGGCCTCATGCTTTCTCACCCCCAAACAGCAGCAGGCCTTTCTTCTAAAAACACAAGTCAGTGGATATCTGTCCCTTGCTCAGAACTCTGCAATAGCCTCTGATTGGACCCCGCATAACATCAAACTCCTGACCTTGGCCACGGAGTCTACAGGTGACCTAAACCCCCCCCACACACACACAAGGCTTTCCCTCAGTCACTGGCCTCTGCTCCGCCTGCCTGTCTACAGGTGAGGACAATGAGACCACAGGGAGCAGACATCTATAACTCCAGTCTCCAAGTTGAAACTGGGGTACATTTTCCTATGTAGTTTCTATTTGATTTTCTAGAAAGCACCCGACCGTTAGCCAGAAGCCAGCTCTCTTTACGAAGCCCACTGTCTGGCTATGTCACCCTCCCACTTGGCTGGGTGCTCCAATGACTTCCCGATGGCCGACGTGGCCTGCAGGGTACACCTCTTCTCCAGACACAGAAGGATGGGACCCTCCAGAGGGCCCTGCAGGCGGAGCCCAGACAAGGGGCGCAGTACCTGTCTCAGGATGAAGGCCACCACGTCCGTGGACTCCCAGTAGCTGGCGTGGAAGAGGTGGGGCAGTGCCACAGTGGGGAAGGCCGTGAGGACCTCCGGGCAGTACAGGGCATAGTCGATGCGCTTGGCACCCCACCACTTGGCTGTGACTGTGGGGTCGAGAGGAAGGTGAGGACAGAGTAGACCACCTGGGGCCTTGACCCAAGGGGCAGTGTGACACCCTGTTGCACAGACACAGTGGTGGGCGTCCCACTGGGGGCACAAGTTTGAGGCCAGCACCCAGATCAAAACTAGCTCTGGGACTTACGCTGCTTCCCTTCCCACCTCTCGCCCTCCCATCCTCTAGGACACGTGCTGCAGACTGGTCCCCAGGAATGGGGACCCATGGAGGCGTCCACAGCCCCACCCCAGGGCTGCTGGTCAGCAGGGTTCCCAGTGGAAACTGAACATTGGATCAGGGCTCTGGCTGTGGTCAGAGCTCAGTCTATGCCTGGAGAGGTCACAGCTCAGTGCACAGACAGGGGTCAAAGTTCTCTCTGAGGTCACAGTTCAGTCTGGGTTTCCATTACCCCTCCCCTGCCCTCAGCAGCTCTGGCAGTGGACCAGCAGCCACCCAGGGGAAGGTCTCGCTCCCCTGAACCCAAGGAGGGCCCCAGAAGACCCTCACTCACTGCAGGAGATGCCAACGGGGGCCAGGCTGTCCGAGGACTCTGAGCTCTCGCTGTTCGAGCTGCCCTGGCTCACCCTCCGCCCCAGGGACTGGGACCTCCGGGCATGGGTGGGCGAGGCGGGGGCGTCCACAAGAGGCGGGCTTCCCTGGGAGCTGCCCTCCAGGAAGAGGGCGCTGTGGGTGTGCAGGGCATCAGCTGGAGGGAGAATTTCAGTCAGGGCCGAGCAGCATGTTTCCAATGGAGCCACCCGTGCTGTGCCAGCCATGCTGGGTGGGAGTCTGGGTGCTCAGAGCTCACCCACCCCGGCATTGCTCTCTCGCCTGCCCGACGGGCAACCTGCATCTCTCGGCCTCCTGAACCTGGTTTTGACTCCTTTCCCACAGTGCATTGCTGGGTCTCAAGTCCTCTAAGCTGTGGGTTACGCAGCACAGGTCAGGGTCCCAACCATCACCTCTCCCTTAATAGAACGGCCGAGGAGGCCTCTGGGGAGTGCCCTCCAAGCACCAGCTGAGATCACGGGTGACCCATAAGCATGTGCTCTTGTATCCAGCTTCTCTCCTGAGCTACAAGGGACTGTGGCTGAGCCCAGAAGTAAATGGGGACCGCAGCCTGGGAGCTAGGGTGCTCCCTGGGGACCGCAGCCTGGGAGCTAGGGTGCTCCCTGGTGGTGGGGGTATGTCCTGACCAAAGAGGGAGGGGGGAGGGAGGTTTTAGAGCCTCTTTTGTCTGTGGAAGATTCTGACAAAGCAGAGCTTTGAAAATTGAGTTTTCATTGAAACGAGATGGGGTTAGTTTTAAATCCTGAATGAGCCACATCCACAGCACTCCCCCCTCAGTCTGCCCCACACCTCTGAACAGGCTCTGGGGTATGGAGCCAAGGCTCACATCTCTAAGCCCCGACTGTCCACTACAGGCCTCCCCTTGACCTCACTCCAGTTTATGCCCAGCTCACCCCACTTGAGCCCTGGAGGTCACTGGCCCTCCCCCAAACCCACCTGCCCTTGCTTCCACTGTTCTTTCCTCCAACCCCATCCTCCAGCTCTTCTCCGCCTGTCCAAATGCCTTGGTCAGAAGCCGCCTCTTTGTGAAGCCTACCAGGGTGAGATACTCCCTGCTCTGAGCCTCAGAGTCCAGGCTGGGCACTGGGCAACAGCCCTCAGCTGGGCCCCGGGACTTTCCATCAGGTCTGACAGCTCGAGTCTTATACTGGCCCCAGACTCAGGAGCTTAGACAGGTGCTTATCAGGGAGCAGAGCTTGGGTCTCTGAGCCCCCAGATGCCTCCAACAGAGCAGGTGCTCGCCCAAGTGGGCTGTTTGGAAAGCAAGTGAGTCCGCTGTTTGCCTGTTTTATTCCCCAAGAGCATACAGCCCCTGCTCAGTTGGGTCTAGTCGCTCCATCAGCTGACAGCCTGGAGAGGCTGGACTTGAGATGGCGACCCTGGAGTGCCACCTGGCTGGGACAGCTTCTGGCTCAGCACGCTCTCTCACACTCCCCAAGAGCCTACCGAGGAGGAGGGACTGTCCGTCGCCCAGTGGGAATCTCTGGTAGCGGGGCACGCTGACGGGTGGCACCAGGTGGAACTTGGGCTCCAGCAGCGGCTCAAGCCGTGAGGCAGAGGGGTCTGCGCAGTGGAAGAAGCTGTAGACCTGGCTGCAGGCAGGACGCACCTGGAACCCTGGGAGAATACACAGGGAAGCCCCTTGCTAGCACCTGCTCACTTGGCCTTAGAAGGCTTCTAAGTGCAGCTTGAGTGCAGCTTTGAGTAACCTGCTCCTCTGCTCAAGGAATGCCACAGCTCCCTGCCACCAGCAGGATCACAGCCATTATGCTCAGTTTGGCATTCAGGGTCTTGCCAGTCTGCCCTACCTGGGAGCCCTGCTATAGGCGCCCAGCACGGCAGCCACGGTGGCCATGGGAAACTCCCAGTCAGTCCTGCTGGGTGCCTTTCTCTGAGCCTTGGCTCAAGCCGCCCCTTCCTAGCAGGCCCTTTCCCCACTATCTCCACTGGTCAAACTCCTTTAAATTCTTCCAGTTTTCACTTAGTTGCTATCTGACCTGTGAAGCCAATCCAGGGTCTTTCAGTCAAGATCAGCTGCCCCTTCCTCCGGCCCCCACTCAATTCCTTGGCCTGGGGTAGAGTTCTTGGTTTGCCAGGGCCAGCAGTACATGTCTCCCACAGACCAGCAGGTGTTTCCACCGAGGCTCCTCCTCATCAGTGCATCTCCCTGTCTCTCTATGTCAGGGTGCAGGACTGTCCACATCCAGGGAGGCCTAGGGTTCCTTAGTGACATCAGGGCAGCAGTGGGACTCTGTCTCCTCTCCCCGCTTCATGCAGAGCCCCTCCCTGCTTCTCTGTCCTGTATTGTAGGTCATCAGTGAGAGTTGGGACAAAAGAAGTTTTAGAAGCCCTGGTCTGTCCATCTCCAAGGTGTCTCCAGCCTCCTGCATCTTCAGAATCATGGCTTAACCACCTGCTGGTGCAAATCATCTCGGAGTGCATTTTAGAGGAATGAGGGGGGAGGGCATTCAAGGCTGTGTGTACTGGATGAGCAAAGGCACTGAGAGGGGCCTGGCTATAAGTAGGGATCACTAAGATGGACCTGGCTGCAGTGGGTCTGCCTGGGCTCTGGGGAAGGAAGGAGTGGGTGCAACAGGGCAAATATTTATGGTTTCTCTTCCCATGGAGCATGACAACTGAACAACAGGGCCACGAATCGGCCAGGAGCATGTGACATGGAAAGTCCACCAGAGGCTACCTCACCTTTGCTCCATCTAAGGAAACTACCCCATTCTTCCTCCTCTCCCCTCCCCCCTTCTTCTCTTCTCTGTCCACCTTCCCCAACTCTATGACCTTCCCCGCCCCTGCCCCCACCCCCCACT